ATCGTGGTGGTATTGATATCATAACTAAGCAATGGCTCATGGAAATTGGATGAAATAGGTTGATTCTGACAGGAAATAAGCCCATTCAATCGCTCGAATCAAGAAATCCGTTTGGCCATATATTTGAATGTTGTTGGGGAGTATGGAACGGCTACAGGGCATAACTTCCCCGGTCATAATTCCACCGAATTTCGGACAAAATTTCCCCAAAATCCAAAAAAATCTATGGGGAAATTATGTCCATTTCCAATTGGATATAATTCCACTGACTCTTTGGTCATAATTTCCCCGAGAAATTATGTCCATATGCATTTGGATATAAATTCTTCTGATATTTGGACATAATTTCTCAAATCAAAATTTTTTGATTGCAATTGCATTTGTTGCGGCTGTCGGATCCCACATGAATTTCATCTCTCAATTGTTCGATGCATTTATCGTCTGATCGACCACATATTGTAATATTGGGATGAAGACGAGGCATATAGTACATTATACAATGACATTTATCGTAGAAAATTTTTTGATGCATTCATTTTGGCAATTCCTGCGACTGTATATGAGACAATGCGTTAAAAGTTCTCGCTTTCGTACAAACATTGACGAATTTTCATTGGTATGTGTCGAATGGCATCTGATGCCCTGGAAATAGATGGTGTGGCAACAATGCGTGTTTCATAGCCATTCGCAATCCTAGGGCCATATTCGTCGATTTCAGGCAATTTATGAGGTGCGTGCAATAACACTCGAAAACCATATCCACTCGATGATGAGCAATAGTATTCATTTACGGCTGCATTAAGAACAAGCGTCAAGCCTAAATCATTTCAAGAAATCGGAGGTGTCTACGAACAAACTGGACAGACAGCGCCTTGACACAAAAATTTACCTAAATGATTGCCTGAGCCCAAACCAGGTCCATCTCTATGCTGTTTCAGTGCTTCGGAAGAAACGCCTTTTCCTGGGGACCAATTGTTCGCAAAACTCTCCAAATCCGAATCATCATCTGCAATTTCTTCTTCCGTGTGACTATTGAATATTTCCAAATAAATACCGTTATGAAATGCTCATTTGTTCTAATTCGTGAATATTGAAGTTGAAGATAAGAGAAAAACAGTGGATTTTATAAATACTTGTTGTAATGTTGCATCATATATTACCTGTGCAATCCATTAAAAACGCAACAAAGTCCACCATCGGTTAAAATAGTGTTGAATAGCTTCATACAGTCAACATCAACATGTCCAAATTGACAGTTTATCAACATTTTTGTACAAGGCTGCGCCACCTATTTTTTTTTGCAGTAAATTGCAAACTTTAGTTTACAAGCCAATCAATTGAAAACAAATCGAATTTGATTTTCGTTTACTTCAAGTAAAACTTTTCGATATATTGGCCATTTATCAGCTACCGAATTAGTTACATGTTCAACAAATTTGTTTCGACAAATGCTCTGCAACACAGCGCATTCTTCATCTCCATGCGGCAAGTTTTTGACATCACTTTTTTGTGCTTGATTCATATTACAAATCTATCTCCGAAAGATACCGAAATTCAATATTAAAAATTTAGATTGAATTTCTCTATTTCACATACCGTTACAGCTGGAAATGGGAATTCGGAAACCGGAATTGAAACTGCAGACTGTGTGATAATCAATTGAATTATTGATGGAGGAGCACATTCAAATAGGTATATATTGTTAAATTTGGAGAACAAACGCTTGAAATTACCAACGTCCACTTTTGCCAAATATTCGAAATGAAATATGCCGAAAGAATGAAAACCAATAGAAATGTGAATCCAAAAAATAATCTAAAAGAACAGTCGTCAGGATTTGATTTTGTCATTTGCCATTGGTTGAATTGAATTTACCGTTCAAATCGAGTTATTGTTCGGTCTCCAACATATTTGAGTCCATGCAGCGTTGTGTTTAGTAGATATTGATGAAAATTTACCTAAACAATTCTAAGGTAAGATCGCTTTTCTTCATTCTGCAACTGATTTTGTTGAGATTGGCGTCTACCTCTTCTCTGGTGCAAACTATTGACATGTAATCTGGATTCACACATTTTCTTTTTTTGGTCAACTATATCCCTCGAACATTCATCACGAAATGAAGTGGATTTTTTTTATCCATATCCTTTTATAATTCCGAGAATTTCGTGTGCCAGTATTTAAACTTTCCATTGGCCTTGATTTGACACTCAGCCACAGGGCACGTGTTGAAA